TTTTTTCAACCGGGGGGGGGGGGGCGGATCGCTTTTCAAACTACTCTGTTTTATTCAGAACTCACGTTCATTGTCAGTCAGTTTCTCTGACCATGCTCGGTTTTACGCCATTCCACCCGATCTCCAGCGCTTGTCCCATTCAGTCCAGCTTGTGCCCGAAGGCCACTCAACGACTGGACCATCAGGGCGGAGGAGGAGCCTCAATTCTCCAGCATTATGCCATTGTTCCTGAACCATTCCATAGTCTCCTGTGACTGCAGCTGTCTTTTCTAGAGAGAGCACTGGCCATCGCGGAGACATTTTTGGGAATCCGTAACTGGGACACCAGAAATGTAATCTCGCCCCAACTTGGGGAGTGGGATGAGTGGGCTGTAGAAGAGTGGGATGAGGCTCCCTGTGCTTTTGGTGTATGTAGCTTGCAGGAGGTCCATTCTGTACACTTTTGAACCTCTGCCTGACATTTCCCCAAAAAGCACTTTCCTGGGGGCATCTTCTTTGGGGGCCATAACTCTGACCCCCCCTGAAGTGCAATCTGCACATAACTTGGAGGAGTCCTAGAGGAGCATCGGGGGGAGGTTCCCTGTGAGTTTGATGTTTCTAGCTTGGGTAGGGTCCATTCCATACATGCTTGAACCTTCTGAACCTGTGCCTGTCATTTCCCCAGAAAGCTCTTTCCTGAGGGCACCCTCTTTGGGGGGCCGAAACTCAAAACCCATAAATCCAACCCTCACCAAACTTAGAGGGCAGGTAGAAAAGAGATAGCTGGGGATCCCCTGTGAGCTTGGTGTTTCTAACACACTGGGGGGGGGATGTTCTACTGCATCATGAACCTCACAAACTGAACCAGTTTGTTGGTGCCTAAAGTTCATGATGGGTCATGGTTCATGAACTGGGCATGCCACAAACCACAACCAAACCACATTTTTCCAGTTCATGCCCATCCCTCCTCTCAACCAGTGTTTGTATATATAGTGCTATTTTATGTTAGCTTAAGTCGACAGATGTTGGGGTCTGTTTATGCCCACCACAATGAAGCTGTCAGATCCTGAGAAACAGAATTGTTACCGATTAGTGATTTTTCTTCCTCTTCTTGTTAACTAACTTGTCAAAAGGATTTTGACCTGTTTTCTTAGGTTCACTTGGTAAAGGTCAGCTTGGCTCATAAATGAGAGGGGTTTTGCTTTAGGAAAACTGAAGGACAAATACATCCATGTATTATAGAAAGCAGGATGTGAAACACAGCTGTAGCTGAGAAAGAGGAGGAAAACAAAGACGGGACCAAGAATCTAAGCAGGCATTTATGTATCCCTTTTTAGAAGACTTTGATGTTGTTGCTGATGTGAATACCCTGATTATATTCCCCCATTGCTTTTGATTTGTCAGACTGTTCTTCTAATTGCCTTGGCGGGTATCATGTATACTGAAACTCTGTGGATCTTAAAAATATTTTGAATAGTGGGGTTGTAGCAGGATGCATTGGTCACAGTCATATCACAATCTTGCATTAATGTCCATTGTTGTCAGTCAGCCCTTATGTACCAGAGCCAGGAAGTGAAACTTATAAAAAGGTGACAAACAGGAGTATAGCACAAAAGCTTAGGGTTGCCAGCCTCCAGGTCGGGCCTGGAGATCTCCTGCTTTTACGACTGATCTCCAGGTGACAGAAATCAGCTCCCCTGGAGAGAATGGCTGCTTTGAAGGGTGGACTTTATGGCATTGTACCATGCTGAAGTCCCTCCCCTCCCCAAACCCCGCCCTCTCCCAGATCCACCCCCAAAGTCTCCTGGTATTTTCCAACCCAGACCTGGCAACCCTACAAAAGCTTGATTACGAGAAGGAAGGTGTTGCAGGAAAAGACTATCAGTGGCCCAGATAGAGAGAAGTCCTATGCCTACATAATGTTTAATGCAAATTCTGGCCAATCAAAATATAGATCACCATAACCCAATCAGGTGCATTCTGTGAGTGCTAGTCTTAATTTATAGCCACCAAGGGGATCAGTGTGGTGCTACTGATCTGAGCAGCTCTATGGATTGGATCGAACCAGCTTTTCTGCTGTTCAAAAAAGGAAGGAGGAGTCATCAAAAAAGTTTGTGCTTGAGAATCTTGGAATCTGCATGCACAAAAGCCATGTGAGATAAAATGGGATAACAGTGAAAAAGCTAGTTGGATCCAACTCTATATATTAAATTATAATTGCATCAACTAATAAACAACCATGAAACTTAGTTCCACAGAAATGAATTTGGGATAAAGGTGCCAGTTCTACAAATTGGTAAGACTTCGCATCAGGTTTCCTGTCTGTAATTTACTGTAGGTCATTCCGTTTTGTAGAAAATGAAAGAAAATGCTAATGGCAGACAGGTTAGGGTATATAGAAATGAGCTACAGAAAAGTAATGTTGACATTCTTGACTAGGTATTACCGGTAGGTAGTAATGGTAGCTTAGATGGGTTCACAAAAACATATTGCTTGCAGTGGAGGATATTAACTGGAGCTCCTAATTGGATTAACTGGAGTTACTAAATGCTATGTGAATTTCAGAACAGATGTGTAGTGTGAAAACAGCATTAGCTGAAAAGTGGGACTTGGCTCAGATGCCTGAGAGACCAACAGCTGGTGGTCTCCTCCCCCTGCCTGATAAAAATGAGTAGAAACCAGCCACATCCTAACAGGGACACCCATTAGTGTTTTCCCTGACCTTTATTGTTCATGCCTTTAGTCACCATTTCTTGCTTGCTTAATGAATCCATATGGGATTTTTTGTGGACCATGGGTTACAGCCAACCCTTATAAATCTTTACAGTGATAAGAGAGGGGCAGTCAAACACTGAATTAAAAATGTTAGACTTGAGACTCCCAAGAGACCAGATGTGAAGGAAAGCAAGAAAAGGAAATGAATCATTTTTCTTCCTTCATGAGAAACTCAGCTGCAATTGTTGTCAGGGAAATCTGGAATTTATTTCGACCACCGTAATGACTCACTGTAAATGGACAGGAGAGAGTAATTGGATTGCTTCAAATTTTTGCGGCTAAAATATAGCAGTTGTCTATCTGCATGTGGTCTATGCTAACTTATTGAAGAAGGCACAATGTATGGCTAAAAGTGGTGAGGAAACATGAAGCACAATTTGCATTTCAACAGACATTCTGAAATTACTAGAGTTCTGAAGAAACCATCCCTAAATTCAATGGCCAACCCTACATATAGTTGCATTTTTAAAAGGGAGGAGTAAAAGAATTCAGGGATAATATCTGCTAATGAAGTTCATAAGAGCATGCGTTCTCACTGTCAAAAATATCCCAAAACAGGAACAAAATTTATTTATTTATTTGATTTGTATCCCGCCCTCTCTGCCAAGGCAGGCTCAGGGTGGCTTACATAAAATATATTGAACAACTAAAACACAAAATTCAATAAAACCACAACAAAATGATTATAAAACATAGCATAAAGTGCTAGTGCAGATTCGTAACCGGTGGCAGGCATTAGCAACGTCCAATAATGCGGAGCTGCCACTGAAAAGGCCCTGGCCCTTGTCACAACCAGCCTGGCTTCTCTAGGACCTGGGAGGGCCAGACGATTTTGGGTCCCTGATTGTAGTGCTCTCTGGGGAACATGTGGGGAAAGGCAGTCCCTTAGGTATGTAGGTCCTCACCAGAACCTTGAACTGAATTCGGTGTGCTATAGGCAGCCAGTGCAATGGAAATTCAGCTATCTTTATCATTATTACATGAGTGGTCAGAATATTGGTGTAGCAGTGACATACAAACTGTGTTCCAGGGAACCTTAGAAGAGCAGTAATAATGGACAGGCATCCTTGAAAGACCACTTGCCTACCATTTCTGATATTCTCAGATGCTCAAGAGAAAGGTGGATTTATTAATATTTTAAATAAATTTCCTGCTTTAGTGTGTAGCCAAAAGGTAGTGTATTTTTGTGGGTGCTGTGAGGCACATTCACACTGAGCAGAATGTGCCTTGCCCAGTGTCCTACATGAACTGAGCTTATACCCCTAGCATATGGCCAGAACCCCTCTGCAATATGTAATTCCATGGCATGTGCTCACTGATGCTATGGCAGGTGGGTCAGTGTGGAAAATGTTACCAGAAATTTCAGAAGTGGAAAATAACCAGACTAGAAGGATGAGGCAATAAACCATTTCAGCTGCTTAGCAGCATCCCGTGCTGAAGTGATCTTGGATTGCTTTGCCATATGGCAGACTGGTACTCACCCCAAATGTTATCCCCATCTCCATTTATCCATTTGCCACCTTTTTTTATTCTACTCTTCCTCCAAGGAACTCTGGGCAACATACAGTGATACTTCTTTCTCTATTTTATCTTCCCAACAACCATATTTATGGGCTTGGGGTGAGCTGTGATCTGGCCACACATGAATGCACAGAACCAGCACGCCAAGAGCTGGATGCAACATGGATGACATCAACTTTTCATCATGCTGGAAAGTTTGTGCGAATCAAACTTAACTCTATATTGTCAAGTACATTCAGATTTTGAACATCTTTGCACTGAGATTATTCTTTCTGGCATACTAAACTGTCTTGTGTGCTTTTTCCAGGTTGTGGTGGAGAGCTCAGTGGGACATCAGGATCTTTCCATAGCCCTGGATACCCTAACAGGTATCCCCACAATAGGGAATGTCACTGGTTTATTCACACAGCACCAAGCAGCAGCATCCAACTCACTATTGTGGAATTTGATATTGAGTACCATCCAAGTTGCAACTATGATGTTCTGGAGGTAGGTTGCTTTATTTCAGTTGAGCATGTTTCCTTCTGATTGCACCTAAACAATAATCATAAAAGAATAGCTCCATCCCGTTGAATGTTGCCCTGCCCTGGATGGCCCAGGCTAGCCTGATTTTGTTAGATCTTGGAAGCTAAGGAGGGTTAGCCTCGGTTAGTACTTGGATGGGAGACCACCAAGGAAGTCCAGGGTTGCTCTGCAGAGGAAAGCAACAGCAAACTACCACTGAGGGTCTCTTGCCTTGAAAACCCCAAGTCAGATGTGACTTGACGGCATATATTAAATGCCAGTGCAACACAAGATAAGGGTTTTTCTTTCTCTGACGGTTGCATCGTATGTATTGTTATAAATTAAGTTTAACAGAGCATGCTTCCTATGCATAATGAGAGTAAATCTCCCTCCAGAGTGTTTACAATGAATTATGGAATTCTAGGGAGAAAACTTTTTAGTAGCAGATCACTGCTGGTGCTGGTAAAGTGTGTGTTTTCTTTTGTCTGTGGAAACTGGCCCCATAAAAAGGCAGTTGTGTGCTATCATTGTTTCTTGCAAACAATGTTCTGTATCAAACTGGCACAGCAAATACAAGGGATAACGTCTTCAATTTTGGACAGTGTTTTCCTTGGTAAAGACATTAAGGCCTCACAAAAATATTTATCCCTAACAGTAGGAAATGGAGCCAGTCAAGGTCTTGTGTGAATTGTTTTTCAAGGACAGTGAAGGACACACAGAGACTGTGCAATCTAATACTGGTGGGTTTAATGGACTTCTGTCTGTGGGTGGGGTAGTTTGGGTAGTGTAGTTAACAAAGCATTTACAGGCACCAGAACAGTACAAGGTTGCCTGCTTATCATTTCCTGCTCTCTGGAACCTAATGAGAAGAAGAGAACTTGGGCAGGCATAGGTCTCACCACAAATGCACCCAGAGCATATCTGCAGTACAGTCGCACCTGAAAAGCTGCTTTCTGATATTCATCATAGAGCTTTGAAAACCAGTGACAAAAAGGACAAACTCTTGTCTGTAAAACTTCATATTACTTTCTTGCTGCTTCCTAGATCAAAATGATTAATGAACACTGATCAATCTACCAATCTCCCTCTCTTAGCAGCAGCAGAGGACCATTGTGATGCTGTGCAGTTGGTTTAGGAGAAATTCTGAGTTGTGGGGTTTTTTTTTGAAATTTTTTATTTTCTTCCTACAAACACTACAAACTACAAACACCAGAACACTAGAAAACACTAGAACACTAAACTAAAAGATAAGCTACACAAGGATCATACAGAATGATTAGTCATTAGCTTAATCAAAGTTCCCTCTATAATAATGGAATGTAGCTATTGCTTACAGCGTCTATTACAAACTGATATTTCTTTGGTTAAATCAGGTAAGTACAGCTTAAACAATTAAACTTTCAAGCTTATAAGATTCTGTTTTCAATTTCTTTCCTCTATATTTCTTTTTATCATTGGACTTTCAAGAGTTTTGGGGCTGCAGCCCCTTTTTCAGATTTGGAGTCCTCTTCTGGGTTACTGCTCGCCGTGCATTCCGAACCTCCCGACCCATATGTGCTGCATCTCACCATTATCTCCCCAGGCAGGGTTTTTTTCTGGATAAATTTTGGATATGTCTGATAGATCATATCCATATCGCTTTGCAATACATCCACAGATAAACCTGTCATTGGGGCCAATGCTTCACCTAAGATTTCCTTCAGATTCTCACCCTTCTGTTCAGGAACACCTTGAAATCTCAGCGCAAAAGTTGATTTTTCCATTTGGAGTCTTAAAAGCTGTCAGAGGTCCTCTCTTTCTCCACTACCTCCAGTCTTTGCTTAATTGCTTTTGTCTTGGCTTCAACCTTTTTCACTGATTTTGCCATCTCCTCTGCTTTTATATTAGTCTCTTTCAGCTGTTTTTGGAGTGCTTCAAAGTTATTATTGAGATTAGTCATCTGATCCAACAGAGGGCGCAATGCTGTAGCCAGCATATTGGGAAAGTCAGTATTTACTTCCAGTTTACCAGCAAGATGTGCTGATCTTGTAGTTCCAGGAGAGTGCTTCGGTCTCGTCACCATCTGGGAAGCTGAGAAGGCAGTGGCTCTTCCTCCAGGACCTGTGCAGATCTTTGCCTTCATACCACATGCATGTTTCCATGCAGCTGGAGAGAGCATGCCAGAGCCCTGCCAGGGAAACTGACCAGCCACTTAGGAAAGGGGCAGTGGTAGCAGTGGAGAAGCAAGCTGTGCTTGAGGAAGGGGCAGCAGTGGTGGGCCTGGGCTAAATGGAAGTCGTGGGGCCTTCTTAGGAAAATGGGGGACCGGGCCCTGAAATGCCTAGCCCACTATGGGCCTGTCTAGCCCACTATTTCCTGTTTCCCTTTCCTGAAAGCCCCCTCTGTCTTAAGCTTTCCCTCTGCCCCCCCCCAGCAGCCTCTACCTAGGAAACTGTGGCCCAGTTGTGTGGTGCTGTCCACTGAGCCAGGCCCATTTGCATAGTAGAGGACCTCAAAGACTTGTGAGATGGGATCTTACAGTTTACATTATTCTCCTCTCCTCTTTTTATCTACACAACAACCCTGTGAGGTAGGTTAGGATGAAAGTATGTAACTGGTCCAAAATCACCTGGTGGGCTTCCACAGGAAGATGAGGATTCAAACCTGGGCCTCCCAGACCCTATTCTGAAGCTCTAACTGCTACACTACACTGGTTTTCATAAGGTGACGGCTGTTGAACACTAGCAAGCAGCCAGGCCTAGTTGAGTCATTGCAAGTCGGGTGGTATCAAGTCACTCAGAGGCTGCTGTCAGGTCTAGGATTGCCAGCTTCCAGGTGGGACCTGGAGATTCCGCCAGAATTACAGCTGAACTCCAGATGACAGAGATCAGTTCTCCTGGAGAAAATAGCTACTTTGGAGGGTGGCATTATATTCAGCTAAGGCCTTCTTGCTCACCAAACCCTGCCCTCCTCAGACTTCACCCCAAAATCTCCAGGAACATTTCCACCTGGACCTGGCAACCTTAGTCAGGCCTGGCCCCAAGGTGCCCCCGCCCCATACAAGCCAAAACAGGCCTGGAAATAGCTCTGCCTCCTACCACTGCCTTTTACTGACAGAACCAAGCTTGGAATACTGTGGTTGCCTAGCTGAGGGAATCTGTGGGGTTTTTTTTAATTTCATTTTTATACTTTTTTACAATGCACAAAACACGGTAAACATAACCAGGAAAAATAGGGAGGTATAGATTACAACAAGATAAGAATTAGAACCATTGGAAGAGTACAATTTATAAAAATAACAAGACAATCCCGGCTATTAACTGTATTTACTATGATAACTCTGTGTTTATTCATTACTCTGTGGTACTTTGGTGGAATCTGTTTCTTTAAGCTACAGGCACTCCTTTTGCCCTTTTCAGTTTTTAAAACTCTCCAGTGTTTTGGGTTTTTTCAGATTTCAATTTTTTTCTGCAAACGGGGGGGGGGGGCTTTTCAGTGTTGTAGAAAGATCTGTCTTGCCCATTCATGGGAAGCAGAAAAATTCGAAATCTAAAAAGATCTGACTTGCCCATTCACAGTTTTAGTCACCAGATTTAAGTATCCAAAGATGGGTCAATTTTGCTATTAAAATATAAAATGGGGGGGCATAAAACTCATGGGGGAGGGAATACTATCCCCTCCATTGCCATCTGGTGTGGCTCCAGCAGTGGTGGTATCTGGGAGCTGCTTCGAGCCCTGGGGGGCTCCCGGGCTCTGCCATTGCCATGGCTGGGCTTGGAACATCTCCTGGGGTCCACCACCACAGCTGGGTTTGTAGTGGCTCCTGAGCTCCACCACAGACATGGCCAGTCCTGCTGGAAATTCCCAGGCTCTGCTGCCACCACAGCTGGGCCTACCAGCATCTCCTGGGCTCTGCCACCATGGCTGAACCTGCCTGCAGCTTCCAAACTCTGTCACCACTGCAGCCACCGCCCCATCAATGGTAAGTGCATTGTTATTTAATTTGGGGGAATTTAACCCCCTCCCATGATTTTTTTTAACCTTTTCAGTTTTTTCCTGAAAGCCTAGGGGTTCCCCAAAATCTGCAGAAAAACCTGTTTGGTGTAAGTGTGCAGGTTTAGCTATCCGCAGATGGGTGCCACACTTGGGACATAGATATATAGATTGAATGCTAGCTTTCAAAGAAGTTTTGAAGCTGGGCAGTTTAAAAAGAAAATAATTACAAACCATTCATTTTATTTAGATTTTTAAAAGACATTCTCTACAACCTGCACAACTTCCAAAGACAAAGGTGCCTGAAAGACAATGCCATCTGGTCTGGCTCCAGCTGGCTTGCCAGTGTAATATCTAAAATTGTTTTCAAGTTTTGAAATTATGTAGATCATGTCAGTTGTAGACTGGGAGGGAAGAATGGCCTTGGAAAGGGCTCATCCCCAAAGGAGGGAGGGAGGGTTGGAGGCCGGAAGAACCAGTCAGCCCCACCCCACTCTGAGGGAGGGAGAACCAGCCAGTCTGCCACATGTGGCTTGGCTTGCATGCTGCTTTCTGCTCAAGTTCTAGCTTGTGCTGCTGCAGGCTTGCATCTGCCCTCTACAGGACAAGGCTCACAACAGCTGCTGCTGCTTGCTTCACACAGGGGAAGGGCAGCTCCCCCCCCACCATCAGCCCGCCAGGATTTTTCTTGGTGGCCTTAATAGCCAATCTGCCTCTGGGTCACATTTCTCCCCTTGCTGCTCTCAGCCTTACGAACACTGTCCCTTTTACTACTTATTTAAAACATTTTGATGCCACCTTTCCACCCAAATAGGACCCTGGGTGTGCCAAACATGAATCTTTTCAAAAAAATTAACATTATTTTTTGAAAAGAGAGACTAAATTTTTAAATTATATTGCTGTGAAACTAGTTGTCGTAATATTCTTGTAATGCTCCGCTTCACAAAATCTGCAAGTAGCTGTCTTTCACAATTTTTTTATACTGCAATACCAAGGTGACTCTGCAATTTGGA